CCTGATTGTTTCCACCTGTGCCCACTTACCTCATGTATATATTGTCCTGTCTCCCCTTGTTAGTTGTCGGTTCGTCTTGTTCGTTGTCCCAAGAAGCCAGATCCAAGCCAGATTCAGTGGTTTGCCTTTTTCCCTCCATGTGAGCGCTTTACTTTTGTCATTTTGTTATTTTCTCTAAAAGAGTGATTTTGTTTTTGCAAGTAAAGATTATTTTTCTTCAAACCTTTTTTGTCTCTGGGTTGTGCATTTGAGTCCTCGAAACTATTGAGTCAAGGTTCCTAACAGCAATTTAATTTTGGCTAGGTGTGTTTTTTGTTTAACACTTGGCTAAGGTATAGAAAACGTTGAGGTTAGGGTTCCTTTATTGAACAACATATACAAATTGTTGCCATCGAATCAGAAATAAAGGGCCCCAAGATTAAATAAGATTAGAAAAGAGCACTCTTTTGAGCACCAGTCAATCCTAAAGTTAAATGAAGACTCAATCCAGATCAAATGTACACTAGACATAAGTCTGTCTCTGTGTTTCCTTTCAGAAATATTCATCCTTGTAGATGTTGCAAATTGAGATTCTGTGAGGCAAGGAGATGTTCGATTCTGTGAGGCAAGGAGATGTTCGAATCATATCGTTTCGGTCTGTGTTCAAATAATGTTTTTAGACCTAAATTCAAATAAATGCCTTTTCATCTCACACTGGATATGTATAATCCAGGAGAACATATTCCCCTCGAAACAATTGTCAGCTGTTTTAAGTAGTTGGATAAACTAAACAGAGCTTTATAGGCAGAATAATGAAAGCCATTGTTCTAGATTTCTAGCTAAATATGCATATTTCTCATTATCATTGTGAAAAAACATCAAAAACTGTTAAGCAACATTTACTTTGCGAGTTACTGTTGTTATAAAGTAAGTATGCAAAAATCAATGTTACAGCTTTGTTAGAGACAGTCAGTTGGAGGCATCAGACTAGTTTTTTGTCATATTCTGAGAGAGATGGCATGGAGTTTTCTTTTTTGCAGACTATTCAAAAAGTGTGTAATACTTTAAAAACAGGCAGTATTTATTTTTGCTCTTGTGTTTGTCGCAAACAATCGAGAATTGCAAGATTAATAAATAAAAATAAAGTTTCACAATCTCAAGGTTTCTGGAAGAAAACATTGTGCTTTGTAAGTTTCTGATAATTGAGGTATTTTCCATCAACAGGATTTTGGAATATACAATACATTTTGAAGCAGATTGGAAATACCGGGCAATAATCATTTTTTGGGAGATGGGCATTGTGACACATCCATGTTGTGTAAGAAAAAACAGAAATGCTTTTTCTTTACTTGGAAAATCACGTAAAGTCTGATTAATTAGTAAAAAGGCTATTGTGTTGATTACAACACAACTCTTCTCTTCAGTCAAAGTTGTTTTCACGGTACATCTAACATTTCTTGAAAAAAACCAGAAGAACAAGTTCCAATTTCGGGGATTTGCAACCAATCAAGCAACAATGGAATGAACCGTTGGCGTTATTTGCTCCGGTTCTCCGCAGGCCATTAAAGTCTACTTTGGTTTAAATGTAAAAGTGAAACTTGTAATTGTGAATGGTTTGTGACAGTGTATTATCAAATAAAACATATCTAAAGCTTGTTTCAGGTGATTATTCAAAGCCAAGTTATAACTAAAGTCTACACTGTATCTACATTAGCATTTGGGACTTGGATCATGCATGGTTGACTTGCAATGTAGGGGATTTAAAGACATCATTGTTTGACAGTATGAAATTGAATTTGACAGTTTGGGAGTGTTTGAAAGAATGAGCACACCAAAGAGGGGGTCGTCAGAAAGTTTGAGCTAGCGTTTTGAACAAAGTTGCTCTTTTTGAAACTACAAAGATTGTTTCCTACAGGCGTGTGTCCTCTGATTTTTGCATATATTTTGCTGGCACCAATACAGCGCCTGCAGGCATTGATCAAAGTTGTTATTCAAACGCAACCAAATCTATCTTTCTCAACTGAACTGAGCTTTAATGCTGGTTTGAATTGGCAAACATGGCAGTGAAAAGTAATTGATTGTGTCGGGTTGAAGTGTTCGAACTGACATTGGAAATGTGACTTTGCGTCTTATATATTTCCTTATTTTCAACATTCTGTTGATTTACTTTGAAAGATGCTGGCTATGTAGGTAATCTGTACGTGTTCGCTGCAGTTTGCAGCTAGACAAGGTGTTCCCTTTGATGTGCTGTGGATGAGGAACTTTTGGCTCACAGGCCTTTTTTCTTCATCACAGAACTAGACATAATGCTCACAAAAGGCACAGCGCTCTTTTGTTTGAGGTTGGCAGATTTTTCAAACACGCTCTCGCTCCATAATCGTCCATGAGCGACGTTTGGTCAGGGTCCCGTGGCGTGCAGTTGTGACGCTAGGCTCCTTCAGCTTCATAAAGGGACGCAAATAGCTTTCAACTGATTGCAATGTATTCCCATCTGCGGCGGGATTTGACGCTCATGGAAGCACGGCATTCGTTTGTGTCGGCTGCCCTTAAAGGCAATGTGAGCGTCCATTCCCATTGGATAACGGAGAATTGTACACCCGGATGTAAGTATTCCCCTTACTGTCGATTGATTTTACAGTGATATCTGCACTACTCATCGACTAAAAAACACCAGATTATCCTTGTTAATTACACAACATTGATTGGTTTAAATTGTGTGCAATGCTTTTGTATTTTTCCCCTTCGATTCGGAGAAACAAATATTTTTTCGGAGTAAAGGATGGCAGAAGGCACTACACTACCCAGAATCCCCAGCTATCGTTTAGGACTACACCTTGTGCTCTGTTTGACAAACCCCGTTTTTTTTCACCATTCATTCCAATGGCTGGCGTCTATGTCACGTGATCTTCAAATTTCTCCCTGCAGAAAAAAAAACATGGCCGAACTTCGTTTTATTCTCGGTGCAAAATGCCTATTTTAAAGTTAGTTTGGCCATTAAAATGCGTTTTGATGTCATTTGATGCGAGAAATATGAGCTGTTATTTCAGATTATGTTATTATATTATGATCTTTAGTTCGCTAGTGATTACAAAGATTACTTCAGGAAATTGCGTCCATAGAACGTTTTCATTGTTACCAAGGTGGTTGCTAGGTACGCTGNAATATACCGGCGGGCCAGATCTAATAGTAATTACAAATTATCCTGCAGGCCGAAATTAAATCCACCGAGGGCCTGATTTGGCCCCCGGGCCTTGAGTTTGACACATGTGGAACAACCTCTTAATAATATTCATGATTATTCTCAGTCACTCCTAGCTGCCATCATCCTGTGCTGATCTGAAAAACCCCTGAAAATCCGATGAAATTCAAGAATATCTTAATATGCTAAAATATCATTACACCATAATCTTTCAAAAGAGGCCAAACGTATACCAAACCTTATAACTTACCAGGGACTAATTACAAAAAACATTACATATTTTAATTCTAAGAATATAGTAGCCCTTTCAGTGGCTGCATCTTGTGTATATATTAGGGTACTAAAACTACCAGTGAAAGTAGTAGACTTCCCACCAGAAACTAAATATGTGTATACTAATGGTATTGTCAGCCACTTTGAGTAAAAGGATCCACTTAATAGCATGTGGTGTGAGTGTGTAATTAGACAAAGAGTTTGAAGCATGGTGGCATCTGGGGTTGTTGGAGGCAGAAAGATTATGCAGAAAATATGAATCACACTCTGTTTTACAATAACTGCAAGCTACCCAAAAGACTGAAGGTAGATATAAGACTCTGCATGGTGCAGTGCAGTGTATTGTGTTGTTAATAGGCAAAGCGTGCTGGGAGGCGTAGAGGGGCTAAATCACAAACAGTGACTCATCAGTGATTCATGGGCCAACTGAGCAGAGGCATAACCAAAGTTTTCTGCATTTAAAAAAGTTTCTTCAAAAAGACTTTGGAAAATAACTTATTCTGTCTACAGATGGGTTCATTAGTCTTAGTGAAACAAAAATGTATGTATGTATATAACATGAGACATGGTGTGTGAACTTCTGAGAGCAATGTAAACACCTTGCATTGGAATTTGTGTGTACGCTTAGTTTTCTTAGTCTGTTATTAAGTGTTTGGCTAAAGCAAGGCAAACTGCGGTCAGGTGAAGGCCAGTCCACGTCGGCTGCATTTTTTTAAGCGTTTCTGGAATCTTTTTGAAGTTTGCCACTCGCAACAGATTTAAACAAATGTATGAGAAATGAATGTCTGATACTCGTCACCAGCGTGGAGACCGTTTGTCTGCCTGCTGTTCATTTAACTCCTCAGAAGCTGCTTACAGGACAGCTGCTTCTGGGCACAGAAAGCAGAACAAAAGTCGAAGTTGGTGTTGGCTGAACGAAGATGCGCACCTTCCTGTGCGTGTCTATGGCAACAATAAATACCTCAAATGAAAATTCAATTCTCCAGTTTCATGCAACTAGAGATAAAAAAATACCTGGCGGCTGGTTCACAACCCACGACGAAAAAAAAAAAAGTCCTGCTCTCATAATATTTTTTAAAAATGGTATCACAAGGAAAAACATGACATGCTATAACTGTTTATATTTTAAGAATTTAAAAAGATTGGAGATATTAAATGTTAACGGCAGATGAAGGCAAAGCTATTCAGCATTTCATGTTCAGATCATTTGGTTGACAAATGATTGCAACATCAATTATGGATTATTATGAACGTGGTGTGCCTTCAAAGCAGCACGTCCCCCTTTGTGAGCGCTAATGGTCCCTTTAAGCTGTACATTTCACTTAGTTACAAGTTGTTGATATGATTTAATTTCTCTTTTCTATATGTCTATTAACTATTCATTCATATTTATTTTCGAAAAATATATTTAGCTTCTTTTGTGGGAGTTATTTAAGAAAAAATTAATTGCATATTATTCACAGAAATAGCATGGCTTGTGACCTGGATCTGTTGGATATCGAGCACAGAGCATAACGATAATAACTCATGATAATGACTCGTTACACACCTGTGCCTCGCTCAGCCCCAGCTCCAGCATCTCCATGGACTTGTGGATCATGTGGGACTTCTCCTCCACCAGGACGCCCTCCTCCTCCTCCTGCTTCAGGCAGCGCAGCGTGCCCAGCAGGCCGTCCAGGATGGAGTGGTGCTCCTGCTTCAGGGCCTCCAGCCCCTGGATCACCTGCTTGGTCCGGGAGATGATCTCTTCCTGGGAAAGCTTCTCCCCAGGGTCCTCCTCCTCCTTCACGCACACCATGGTGGACATGTCCTCACGCATTCTACAGATTCAACATCAGGGAAAGGAAAAAGATTTTCTAAATTATGTATGAATCCAATTTAAAGTGAATGAAGTTGTTTTTACCAGAACGTTCCTGGAGATCAGACAAATTAAACCAAGATCAATGATAAAAGAAACACGTATAAATGTGCAGTTTATAATGAACAGATAGGGATGTCCATTCATTTAGAAGTTCAAACATCACGCTCTCTGAGGCCAGAGGGAAAGACATTTTCTAAATCTTATAAAAACAAGAAAACTAAAAGCAGCTTGTTGTCATCTAAAGACTTCCACATTAGAAACAACTTGTCTCATGATGTCTATACTTGTTCATTCCTGACAGAACATTTAATTTAAAACGCATTAAAAAGTTTGATCAGGGTTAACTTCTGAAATAAATTCAGAAACAACAGAACCATTAGGTATAGGAATCTTCACAAAGCCACACATTGGACAACCTTCAGATGTTTCCTTCCAAGCTGCCTCCTCCTGACCTTTTCTTGTCTCATTGCTGCAACACACCCTGATGCATCTCCGCTTACGATCAATACTCGGCTCCGGGTGAGAAACAACATTGTCTTAAACCAAAGTGTGAAACCTGTGAGTGTCAGTACTTGCTTCAGGTTGAGATCATTAATAACAAATGTTTCTTACTCAGACTTCACCCGAGGTGTCTTTGTGTGAGGCACTGACAGCAGCAGGGTGTTGCAGCAACTGAAAAAGCTGCATAAACAAGAGAATACACACGAGGTCGCAGATAAATAGTGTAGGAAGAGCTCTGAGACTGAGGCGTCATCACTTGAGATGCTTTCAGAAAAAGAGCGACTTTGGTGCAGCTGTGATGATGACCGCAGACGATAAACCTGCCGCCTGCTGACAGCTCAAATCAGGATCTGAGGGCTGTGGGATGTGTGTGGTGAACAGATAACGACAGATATGAGGTGAGGATTTTTAGAAAGGGAAACGCTCACAAAAAGTAGAAAAAAAATGATGCCACAAGTCTTTAAATGTGTTTTATGGTTCGTTATGTTATACTGCTTCATCTTTGTTATGAAGTCAAGTCAGCATTTATTGCCTAAAAACTACTTGTTCCAGATATCACATAATATACAGTTTTCATCTGGTATCCTTTTACTAAGTTACTAAAAGACTGCATTGTTAATAAATATTTTTTCAGACAATGACTCAATACACACACACACACACACACACACACACACACACACACACACACACACACACACA